GGAATCCGCCACAATGCCTCTGGGCACAGACTGGGCATGTCTTCTGGTCCTTTGCCTCATCCCTTGAGCTTCGGTCGCGAATCCCGGACATCCTTAACAAGCCCAACTTGTCAAATCTCCTGGGGCTTGCCGCGTCGTGCCGGGGATCTGGCGCATCCGCTCGCATGACTTCGCTTGGACCCAAAAAAGGCCCCAGCACGAGTCTAGAGGGGCCCAAGACGCTCCCAAGGCGATCCTAAAGGGCCCCTAATCGCCAAACGATCGCCCCAAGAAGCCCAACATGGCGTCAAAACGGCCCATGAAATTGCCCAAACGCCCGAAACGGCATCCGAACAGGATCCCGAGAGGCAAACCCCTTTGGTTTTTGAAGGATGTTTGCGTTCTCGCCTTTTGTGCTTCCCGACGCTCTCAGACGGCCGAAGAACCCCCCGATATCGCCCTAAGACGGCCCCAAAGGTTCCCAAGAGGGCCGCAAGACGGCCCAGGAGGGCCCCAAAAAGACCAAAGAAGCGTCCAAGACGGCCTGCTCGAAGAGGGGGCCCAGATGGGGAACCCGAGCGGGCATGTCCTCTTACAGGCGATTCGTGACAGAATGGATAGAAAGATTCAAACCTACTTGTTCGAGAAAGAAAGACTTGCTAACATACTTCGGCAATGCGCCAAACATACTTCGGAAGGGCCAACATCCCTGCTGGAGGATTGCCTCGCTTTCGTGATTGCCACCCTGCATGTTTCGGCGCGCGTAAAAATACACAGCGCCCTGCGCGCCAGACAGAAGAGCGCCTTGTTGTTCGACGCTGCGTGACAAATGGCCGCGTTCATTCCGATACGATAGGAACTCGGTACACATTCAATGGCTTCGCGTCCGCGCGAGAACGAACTGCCCCTGCTGCGCACTCAGCCGGCTCCACGCGGTTCGTTGCCACTGGGCTCACCTCGAAGACGAGCGACAGACGCAACATTTGCCCTGGGGGCGCGCGAGGGGCGCCACCAGAGACAACCAATCCAAACGTGTAGACGATCCCCAAAAAAAGGCAAGCGCTTATCGCACCACGTGCATATGGCAAACGAGAAGCGCCGCAAAATCAAAACAAAGGTCCACGGGGGCTGACGGAAAGCCGCAAGTTCATCATTATTTTCATCGGTATGTCCATCGGGCAATCTTCCGATCGACCGATCGACCGGTCCTCCTCCTCCACGTCCTCCTCCCCCCCCCCCATGTGCAAATGCATGTGAATTCAAACGCGGGCGGGTGCGCGGGGGAACTGGATCCCAGAACGGTCGCAACAAAGATTGACCTTTCTTCCGTCTAAAAGCTGCGTGAGGCGCGTAGCACGCATCGCGCGTTTGATGCGAACGCTGAGGGCCAGCTCCCTAGCGGGATCGGGAGCGCAGAATAAAGCCGCGACGCTTGTGTGGCGGAGCGACGTGCGCTCGGCAATGCTGTGGCAAGCTGTTCAACCCGCGAAAGTACCGCATCAACAGCGCGCGCCGCTCACGTCTACTCGATGACGGCATCAATTTCATGCCATGTCCGATCCGGCTTGTCCCCCGCGCGCGACATGCTCCGCGTGAAGCGTCGGCCAGTGGATGTGCGTAGCAAGATGGAGAAAAAACACCAGGGATCCAAATCTGCAAAACCACTGCCGGTTGCTCAAAGGGTACTCGTCGAATTGCGCACGCTGCGCGCAAATCTAATCGCAGCGCCGCGCCATCCAGTCCACGATGACAACACGCGGTCGGGCCTCATTGAGCACGTTGCAAAAAACACATCGAAATATACGCACGCGTCTGCTAAAACGATATAGCGCGCGCTGCCGCCACCCAGTGCGGCGAAACAATTAATGGTGGCGCCACACGGCGTAGCATGTTTTCCAACCGCGTACATCGTGCGTTCACATGTCCGATATCCAAACAACTACTGCCATACTATGTTTGGAATAATTCTAGCATGGCATCAAACATCGCCATCAGGCTATACTTTCGACTGCTTTCTATTTTCATCATGTAGGGGGCCATGCCCGACTTAATCTTAAGAGGACCCCAAGACGCAAACATCAGTGATGCCCCGCTTGCTGTTTGAAGGATTTGGGCGTTATCGCCTTTTCGGCTTCCCGACGCTCCAAGATTTCCCAAGAGGCTCCCGAGATCGCAGCAAAAAGGCGCCAACAGTCCCCAAAAGGGCCCCAAGACGGACCAAGAAGGCCCCAAGACGGCCCACGAGGCGCACAAGACGGCCCAAGAAGGCACACTGACTGCTCCAAGAGGGGGCTCATATGAAAACCCGAACGGACAGCTCTAGCCCTAGATCCCGAGGGGCCACCAGGAGGCCCCAGGATGCCCCCGAGAGGCACTCCAGAGGCCCCAAAACTTGCCCCCGAGATCGCCCCGAAGAGACTCCAAGAAGCATGCCTGAGAACTCTGACCCACAACCCAGGCACGGTGGGTGTCGGGGTGGGCCGAACGCAATTAGATACTGCGAAGGCGCAACTATGCTCACAATGGGTTATGACCCAGCGGCCGAGAAAATTATCCCAGTGCGAACCCTACCTAGGAGTTGGAGCATTTAGGAAAGCAATATCTACATCTACACCGACAGCTACATTTACATATACACCTGCATCTACATCTAAATCTACATCAACATCAACAGCGAGACTCACAATGCTATGCTGCGCTATGCTATGCTATGCTATGCAATGCAATGCGATGCTGTGCTATGCTATGATATGCTGCGCGGTGCTATCCCAAGCAATGCTATGCTATGCTATGCTATGCTGCGCTATGCTATGCTATGCTAGGCTATGCTATACTAGGTTGAGCTATGTTATGCTATGCTATGCTATGCTTGGCTATGCTATGCTATGCTGTGCTAATGCTGCGCTGCGCTATGCTGCGCTGCGCTAAGCTAAGCTACGGTAAGCTAAGCTATGCTAAGTTAGGCTAAGCTAAGCTAGGCTAGGCTACGCTAAGCTAAGCTAAGTTAAGCCATGCCAAGCTAAGCTAAGCTACGGCTAAGCGAAGCTAAGCTGCAACTAAGCTAAGCTAAGCTAAGCTAAGCTAAGACGAGATACGCAAAGCTAAAATAAGGGAGCGCAACTGGGGGAACCGCGGGGCGGGGACCGGGGGAACCGCCCGGGGCGAGGAACACTGCCCGGCCCCTGTAAGCTAATAGAGTAAGAACCCTCTAGGCAGAGCCTAGGTAGGGAATGAAGTCCCCACAGTTGCTTGAAACTCGATTCTGGAGCCATCACGTATCGTGCAAGCCATGGTCGCTAAATCAGGAGCGCAACCAAATTCCAGTATTCCTGACCACAGGCACTGTATTTGATCACGGGCTCTAGCGGCAGAATTCGCCAGCAGATCGTCCATATAAGAACCAAAGCCTCAAACCATATTCACTGTGGTCGCTTTTCCCTCCAATGTCGGTCATATTGGATCGGGTCAGTTGACAGTCGCTCATTTGAACTCCCACGGCAGCCTTCACAATTTCCTGACCTGCAACACCCACTCGCAAAGATCCCGCGCCGAAGAACACTCAAAGAAGATGCTCCAACCTCTTCTTCCAAGGAGAGGGGTTCTAAACTAGCTGCCCGATCATGCACCCTATGACCTATGACTGACTTGATTCACAGCAATTGTAGATGGCTGGGTCGCTGCATAACTCGAAACATGCCAGTAGCATCATTGCATGGGAAAACAAGCGATCGCCATCGCCGTCATCGTCATCATTACCGTCATCATCATACTCATCGTCTCAATGATCACTGTCAAATCATCGGCTCCTCCGTGCCCTCTAGCGTACCCGCAGCATGTGGATCTCCACCATGTTCATCATCATTACCAGCAGCATCATCATCACCATCAGCAGTACCAGCACCATCATCACCATCATATCATCATCTTCATCATCCTCATCATCATCACCATCCCCATCCCCATCCCCATCCCCATCTCCATCCCCATCATCATCATCATCATCATCATCATCATCATCATCATCATCATCATCATCATCATCATCATCATCATCGTCACCATCGTCATCATCACAATGATGATCACCATGATCATGATCAGACACTGCCAGAACTGCACGCACAAACACTGCCATGGCCATGGCCGCGAGTGCGAGTGCGAAATCGCACCCACGTTCAACGAAGTCTTCCGGGGGAACAAGTTAACGGGCGAACAAGATATAAAAATAAACTTTTTCGCTGTCGGGGGCGCCTGTCCCAGGGCGGCTGGAAATTTACACCCTGACGGTGGCACCGTAGGGGTATAAACTTTCCAAACGCCCAGGGACAGGCGCCCCCGACGGCGAAACAATTTATTCTATACTGTTCTTCGCTCGCTGAACAAGAGGACACCGGTGCCGCTGCTCCAAGGACCTCTCCTGGGGTGCGCTCTGACCAAGTTTCCGAGGCAGACCCAGCCGCGGCGGCGCGAGAAGGGTAGCGGCATCGGCATTACGGTACAGTTCCCTCCTCTGATCTTTCATCCCGGAAGGGCTACTTCTGGGCGCTCATATCCAAGGGAGCATGGGGGGTCCTGCGTAGACCTTGCCGGTCTGGCCGGCGACGACGGTGAAGTACTTGGCCGAGTCGCGCCCACCCAGCTCGTCGCCCATCTCCTGCACCGTGCGCCTGACGGGGTCGATTACCAGCATCTTCTCCGCGCGGCAGGGGGCCGCGTACAAGAGGTTCTTGAAGTGCCGCGCGTGCACGGCGTCGGTGTACTTCGCGCCTCCAGACGCGATGTCCTCCAGCCTGCCCATCTCCTCGATGGTGCTGGAGTCGGGCTCGATCTCGACGACGCTCCTCCAGTTGTAGGGGATGCGCAGAGGCAGGAAAGAGCTGCCCAGGCATGAACTGCTGGAGGTCCACGCGAAGTTCTGGGATCGGCACTGGAGCCCTCCCGGGGGGACCCATCGCAGATCGAAGAGCTCCGAGCGGAGCTCCAAGACTTCGTGCTTGTGCAGTCTGTCCCCTCCGAGATGCAGAAGAAGCTCGTCGACACGGCCGGATTGCCCCGCACGCACGCGGTGAACTTGCCCTGCACGTCCCCGAAATCGGGGCCGACGGGCCGCACCTTGACGTCCCGGCTGCCCTCCTGAACCTCTCGGGCTGGACGACAGAATGGGTGTTCCGAAGAGGTCAGTGATCTTCCGAACTTGCGCTTGCGCCACTGCGTGCTTGTCCACCGAGGCCCTTCGGTACGACGCAGGCGGCATCACAGTGCCGACACTGGCTGCGTGCCCGCGTTGACCCGAACGGGGGCAAAGACACATCGGGCGAACACACGTCCAGAGGACAATCGCGAACGGGGGGCTGGCGATCAGCCCCTGCGGCTGGCTTCCAGGGCGGCTGCCCAGGCGCCCGAGGCGAACAGACTGTATCGAGGAGAACCGAGGGCGGCGGGGCCGAAACTGGCGGCAACCTCTCCCTGATCGGCCCAGACCTCCAACGTCGTGAGTATCTTTCAAAATGCCCCCCCCAGAAAAGTTCTGGAATCGGCGCGGGGGTTGCCAAGGGGATAGGGGGGGTCATCAGTGGATGCCAAGGTGGATTATACTTGGCCAACCATAGCTTATAAGTGGGCCACGAATGTCCCAGGTGGCTTAGGGGTCGGATAACTCTGCAAATTTGGTGGAGCCGACTTTGCCTGGATCGCTATCCCCCTAAGCCACTTAGGAAATGTTTCACACACTTCTAAGCTGACTGCTAGGCCAGATATCACCTCTCTGGCATCCATCAATAACCCTCCCATTGCCCCTTTAGCGGAACCAGCTTTTCATCCTGAGTTGCTTTTTGACGGTCCAGGGCCTGGCGAGGGACCCCAAACGCCTCCCGACGCGACAGTTGTGCACGCCGGGGGAGCGAGCCAGGGGCGGCGGGCGCGCCCGAGACGCCGCCAGGGCGACCCAGAGCAGATCCGAGACATCCGCGCGGATCTCCAGAAGTTCCCCCAAGAGTGCTTGCACTCAGCGGCTCCCGCGTACGTCACGAGGGGACTCGCTGAGTCAGGCCGTTGGCGCCCCGGGCCGCCTCGTGGCCGCCTCGTGCGCGGTGTGGCCGCCCGTTGTCGCTGTGTCCTGCCTCGAGGGCTTGGTGGGTCCGGCGAGGCTTCGCCACGTTGCTGGCGGTTGCCGTTTCGTGGCCACCCCTAGCTTGCATCCCGTAAACTCAGCCACGTAGCATGCACATTCACAATGTACTACCTTCCTGCTTGGGGTCCACGCTGGCTAGCTGGTGAAAGTCTGCTAATGGGTATACGTATGTTCGCCAGCGTGGCCCCAGACAGCATGCTTCTAGCAACCTATGTGGTGCAATCTGTGTGGTGCAGAGTATGTGGTGCAATATGTAAGGAATGTTTACTATATGTGGTGTATGATGTGTGGTGCGCTCTATGTGGTGCAAAAGATGTGGTGCAAGCTACGTTGTCAAATCTATGTGGTGCGATCTACGTGGTGCAAGCTATGGAGTGCAACATATGTATTGCAATCTCTACGTGGTGCAATGTATGTGATGTGAGCTGAGTGGTGCAACATATGATGCGGTGCAGTCTATGTGGTGTGCGCTATAAGAGTGCAGGCTATTCAATCAAACATCTGTGCTATGTGGTGCTATCTCTAGTTGTGCAACGTGTGCCGTCAATGTGTGCGGTGTGGGCTATATGGTGTGAAGGTTACGTAGTGCAATCAGTGTAGTGTCAGCTATGAGGTGCCAGATGTGTGATGCAATCTCTATGTGGTATAAGCTATATGGTGCGATATATGTGGTGCAGTCTCTATTTGGTTAAACGCATGTGATGTTAGCTATGTGGTACAAGGTGCGTGGTGCGATTCACACAAACACACACAGAGATATATATATATGTGTATATATATACAGATGTGTGCAACGTGTGCAGTGTAAGCTATGAGGTACAATCTACGCTGTGCAATCGATGTGGTGCGATAGATGTGGTGCAGCGGAGAACTGCGATCAAGGGGCGGCAACACGCACTGCGATGACCGACAACCAGGCACAGTAGCAACTGCGACGGACGGCGGCGACAAGCGGCGACGGACGACAAGAAGCGCGGCAACCGACAGCCCGGCCCAGTCGCAGCGGCGACGGACGGCGGCGATGGGCGACAACAAGCGCGGCAACCGCGAAGTCGGGAACGCCAGAAACCGCCAGAGACGTGGAAATGATTGCCCTGGGGCTCCTGAAGGCCACCTCAACCTTGAGCCGTCTTGAAGCATCACGCTGTGACGCAGACCTCCCCGCCACGGAGTCGCCGGGAGAGTGGCGTGGCGCGGCGGAGCCGGCCTCGAGTTCTGCTGCCGCGCCCCTTGCGGCGCCACGAGCAGGGGCACCAAACTCTGATGCCACGCTTAGGTCGGGCATGTCCTCCTGCAGGCAGATTCTGGATGAAAAATAAGAAATACTTAAAACATATTCAAACATAATCAAACATATTTTTAAAATCGTCCCCAGACTATTTTTTGACTATTTTTGAACATTTCCCCTGTGGAGGGACGTGCCCGACTTAATGCTGCGCCCCCGCCGCTTTCGCAGGGAAGGCTTCTGACACCCCCCTCATCGGGGCGGGCCGTCCGCTGCCACTCCCTGGCGGCCTTGGGGGGGCCCCGGGGAACCCCCCCTCCCCCGGCAGAGAGCACCCCCAGGGCAGCGCGGAGGGACGCGGCCAGGCAGCCCCCGCATCAAACAATCTGATGCCCCCCCGTCGGCCCCCGCATCAAAGCCTGATGCCGCGACCGGCCCCGGCATCAGAATCTGATGCCGCGACCTGGGCTCGGATCGGCATCCTGCTGCCCCCCAACGTTCGAAGAGAAGCCCCTGACGGGGGAGACCAAGAGGCACCGATGCCGCTGCTCCCCGGACCTCTCCTGGGGTGCGTTCTGACCAGGATCTCGAGGCGAATCCAGCGGGGGCGACGTGGGCCTCCCGGGCGGCCGAGAAGGGGGAAAGCGGGCGAAGGGGGCAGAGGTACGGGTACTCCGGATTCCATAACAAAGTGGGGGGGGTCACATTCGGAGGGGGGTCTAATTTGAGCTGTCTTGGAGGGACTCGGGGGGGGTCTGGGCAAAGGGCCGCCCTTCCATGGATAGTCTGGGGGGTCTAAAACTTCTCGTCTGGGAGGGTTGTGTCCCCCTCCCTTTTTATACAAAATCTGGGGTACCTTCTCCTCCTCGGACTGGCTCTCCCTTCTTCGCCCCCCGCCCCCTCTCCCCCGAGGCCCCTGGCCCGACGGGCCGCCGGTCGACGAGGGCAGCACATGGCGACGCCGGGGGGGCCCCTCCGACGACCAGACTTCGGCCGGGAGTTTGGACGAAAAATCGAACATACAAACAAACAAAAACTCAAACATAGCCACCCAAAAAAGTAAGAAAATCGTTCCCAGACTATTTCTGGACTATTGTTGAATATTCCTCCTGGTAGAGGGGCACGCCCGACTTGAGACCAGACCCACGATGCAGGAGAGGAGGACGCAGCAGGGCAGTCCACTGGGGATGCGGCCTGCGACGGGCGACCAGCGTTGGGTCGTCATCATCATCATCATCATCATCATCCTCCTCCTCCTCCTCCTCCTCATCATCATCATCAGCACCATCACCACCATCATAGTTGGTGTCGCAGCAATCGTTAAGTCGGGCGAGCTCCTCTACAGGAGGATTATTCATAAATAGTCAAACAATAATCTGAGGACGATCTTTCGATTATTGAACAACTGTTTTGGTATGTTTTGCATATCCTCCCGGAATGCCGTCAGAGGTATCTCCGTGCCCAGGCTCGAGGAGTTCAACCATTATGAGCATTTCTCATGTCTACTCCCGCTGGCGAACTACAAAAAGAGAGACCTCTGCACCGAACTAGAGATGAGCGCTCTGTGAGTGAAAGCACTGCGGAGGAATATACACACATGGCCAGGTCCAGAAACCCTGAACCAAAAAAAAGGTTGTCATGTTGCGGCGGCGCATTTTCTGCTTCCGCTACCTTAAAGGGAAATTAGGACACACAAATAAATACACACAAATAAAAATAGTCCCCATATTTTCCTATATTTTCTGTTTTTTTTGTCTTCCCCCCCAATTCCCATATTTTCCCATATTTTCCTGGGAATCGAGGATTAATTGTGTCTGTGTGTTTTTTTCCCTCCTGATACCTGCCGCCGGCCTCCCGCGCCGCACTCCGCCGAGGCGGCGACCCTCCGCCGGCCTTCCGCCGTGTCGCCTGGCAGATGGCAACTCCTTCGACCCTCGAAGGCGAGGCCCTCCCTGCAACGCCTCGTCTACATGCCAGTGCCGACTCTCCTTTCCCGCGAGCCTCGATCTGCAGCACCCGCCGCGCGTCCCGCGGGATGCAGAACAGCTTGCCGCTCGCGCACCTGAGGGGCAACGACAGGGGCGGACTGGCCCAGGGGGGGAAACGTCGACCTGGAATCGGCGAGACAGCAGGGGCCCGACCATGAGAAACCCTCCACAAGAAATCCAATCCTGAGACCCCAGGGAGTCCATTGACTTTTTGGTGTGGGAAAGTCACGCCTCCCGTCACAACACCGTCGAAACTCAAGAAACCCGGGGCGCCCTGAAGGCGAGCAGGGCGCCCTGGAGGCGAGCTGGGCCCCTCTACGAGCGAGTACTGGGTGACAGGGCATTAACCTCGCACTAGTGCGTGATACATCAGAACGGCAAAACCGTCGATACATCATCATCACCCTGGGCGGGGGGATTACCTCGCACCTGTGCGCGGCAAACCACTTTGTCGAAGGCACAATTAGAAACGCCTCCTTAGCTACCACCCCTTTTACAAACACCCCGTTTGCAGGGGCATGGGTTGGGGTTCGATGCGTCACGGTAGGTTCGTGCGGCGTCGGCGCGCGCAAAAGTTTTTGACACCGCGTCGATCGCTCAACCTTGAACGGATCGCGGCCTGGTGCGCTCGAAGTCGAGAATTCAGTCGGGTCCAGTGGCGATATGTCGTGTCCGTCA